TGAAACCCAGTGTGGTCCAACATAAAAAGAAGTTAAATAAGCATGTATTAAACTAAATCATGCTAGTTAAGTAGTCACACTTCCAGGTAAATGGGTCTCAGCATTTCTACTCTGGAACTGTATAATCGTAAGATGAACCCAGCCATAACAATTCTTGCTGGGATGAGTCTCAGTATGTAGGCATTTTTTCAGCCAGGTATGCTTTTTTTTGTTTTAAGCCAATACTTGAAACAACTTACGGTTATGTACCTTTCAGATTTTTATTCCGTATCAAAGGAAAAATTTATTCCCTATTTTCCAGATACCTTATTTCCTGAATAAAAATTGCAAATATTTTCCACCCAAACTTTTGAAGATTAAATAGGGAGGAATGTGGAGTTGCTGTTTACTTTAACTGTGTTAGGCTAGAACATATGTTAATATTATATGTATGTCAGGCCAGCCCTAAAGTTGTTGCAGCATTTGGTTTTCAGTTATTGATAAAGAGAAAATACTGATTTAGGAGAAAAAAATTCCAAAGTTCAAGTTCAGGAGTACAAAGTTACTTAGGAAGATGCATTTGAAAGTATCCAGAGAATCATCTGATCTAGTACCGATCATATTTATTTTATTTATTTTTCTCTCTCTTTCTTTTCTATCCATTCTTTTCTGTAGCCACTATTGATGCAGATGGACAGGGATTTTGTCAAGGTGGATTTAGTATCGACTTTACCAAGGTATGTGATTCTTTCTCAATTCCTAAGAGTCAGCAGACAGTTGCAAGCTAACAATAATCCTGATACAGACCACAGAGAAGCACAGCTGTTATGAAACTAAATGTAAACCACTGTTCCTGGAGGGGAAAAAACCACAACCAAACACATCCTTGTAAATAAACAAAAAGAACTTCAAACCACTCTGGTATTATAAACCTGCTTCTCTGTATATCTTCACAGCAGCTCACTTTTACCTCTTGTAGGAATCATGTCCTGAACAAATAAAGTGCTTTTCCAGCCTCATGCCATAAACTTCTGCTGCAGCTAGTACTCAAGTGAAATAAACTGTAGCAGTCAGGTTTTTTGACACTTACTTTGAAGGGATTGGTGCATATCTAGTGTTACTTCTTGAGGAAGAAAATCTGATTGCTGAAGGGAACTGGTAGACAATGTTCTTGCGAATTATGTTTTGTTTTTCTCATTAGCTAGCAGAAGTAGACTTTTTCTTCTGCTTTTCTGTTCTCCCTGCCTTATATAGTTCTCTTTTTTTTTAAATTCACAATTACTTTTTAAATCCAAGCACAATAAAACTGTGCACAAATCTGAGAACTAACTATAGTTTTTTATGTTGTACAGTTAAATTGTTTAGCGTAGTCTGGATATGTTAAGACCACACGAGTCCTGTCTGTGATGTGGCAATTTTTTGGGTTCTTCACATCTTATGATTGCGTTGTATCCTTTCACTCTTTGCCTGAGGTCGCTCTTGTTTTTCCTCCAGAGGAGTCTATGCAAAGTGCAGTATAGGACTGTAAGTGTTCGAGTTATTTTGCGTGCACCCCTCAGGCTTACTGTGCAGACTCTAGCCCCAGTTAAAACCAACCTTGGGCTCTAATTCAAAACCCTAGCTGAGTGGGCAAGCCTGGATATAGGGTATCTCCAAATCTCTGACCTAGATTTTTCCGAGTGGTGAATATGAGGGTTTCTAAGATTAAAACCTGGATAAGTGGCTTAATTGTGCAGCAAAGCCTATGGCCCAATTCAGTACTTTGAGAGCAAATTCCCAGCACTGGTATAGCTAATGTGGTTGACGTTTCATAAAATGGCTTCTGGATTGCAGTTGTACCAAGGAGTATGGAGTGGGGGAATTACATCACAACTTGTCTGAATTAAGCTCTTCTAAAGAGAAGTTACAGAAAGTGGCAGGGGCAGAAGATGAAACTAATTTTGTGTACTGACCTAAAAACATGTTGTGATTGCCTTTCAGTGGCCTTTAAAATTTTCTTCTAATTTTATTTCTGTTGTCTTAGATTTATGTGGGTAGAAGGGCCTGTTAGAATAAAAGCAGAATTCTGCCTAGAATTTTACATGGGTGATACAGAAAAGCATGTCACTGAAGGCATATTGTTTGCTAGCATTTTATGAGATGCATTTTTAATTAATCTTTTTTTCAAAAAATAAAATGTATTGAGGTCAGTGAAGCTACAGTGATATACATGCATGGGGTTACTTCCCATAAATGTAGGACATGTTCTAGCCTCATGCCATAAACTTAACATCTTTTGTTTTTTCTTTTTTTTTCTTTCTTTTTTTTTTTCTTTTTTTCCCCTTCCCCTCCAAGGGAGACAGAGTGCTACTTGGAGGACCTGGAAGTTTTTACTGGCAAGGTGAGATGTATCATTTAAGTCACAGAGAAGTTGACCTCTTTGATTTTTCTCTTTATCCTCTTAGTCATTTGTATTCACATACCTCCAACCACTGTCAAACTCTTCATTAGGAAGAAAACTAACAGAAATAATTTTTCTTCATCTTCAAAATATTTCCTGAATAATCCAGGCAACCACAGATTAAAGCTGAAGTAATAATTGTATAGATGTATTTTTTGTCTTTTAAATACCTCTATGATAGTTTTAAAGGCATTTTCCCATGAATGTGGAATCTGTTTCCATCAGCAGGATGTTTCCTTTAGGATATTTTGCTTGTTTCAAAATCTACACGTTTTTTAATTTCTGACACACACACGAAGCATGTATTTTCAATGAGAAATGTACCCTCCAAAGAGAACTATCGTTATTTTCCTTTGACGGCAAAGATGTATTGTGTTTGTGTATATTGATCTGTTTGTGCCGTGGTGCACGTTTTACCTCTTAACTGTGCTGTTTACACAGAACATTACCTGTAGATTTTGCTATTTCAGTCAGTATTTGTTTGCAGGATCGTTCCGTGTTTAGCTATAGCTCTCTGTTCAAAAGATGGTGCTGCTACAATCAGGACATAGCTGCCAAACTCTGCTGCCTGTTTTTTAATGTAAATACTTATGAAAGATTTTCTCTATCACACCAGCCTAAATGTAGATGGAGCAGCACAGGAGGCTTCTTTCCAGTCCTGTGTTTTTAAATTCAGAGCAAAACGGAACGATTGAAACTAAACCGCAGATACAGTATAATATAGATTATGTTTGTGTATTCATTTTACTGCTTTTTGACAAAAGCAACATCTCATCTGCCGAAACAACCTTATCCTCTTCTACCACTACAAAAAAAACCCCAAACAAAACCTCAGCTCTGAATAGAATACACATTTTTATTTCACATTCTGAGATGCTGGAGGACTAGTTTTCCCTATACTTCATGCATGTATGAATATGTATCTGAAGTAAGTGCTCTTCTGAAAAAAATTTTTTTGTGATTCAAGGTTAAATTTAAACTCAAAAGAATGTAACGTAGTCACCACCTAGTGGGTAGTGAAGTGAAAACAGAGAAAGTGATAACACACTATGCTCATCTTGGTAGCTTCTGCTCTGCCATATTAAGCTCTCATGTTACAGTATAGACAAGAAGGGATGACACAGTTCTGCAATACCATAAGCATATGCTTACCGTTACCTAACTGAGCAGTCTCATTTAAGTCCTGGCTTACAGGTAGGAGCGTCTTCTGTGGGCAATTTTGATTAAATACTTGCACAAATTTTTGCTGAAGTAGGATCCAGATTTTCACTTGCATTCTTTCTAGTGCTGCTGCTGTTGGCTAGTTTCTGGTCGGTGTTGTGGAAGAGTTGTTGCTTTAGAAGGAAGCACTTAGAAGAAGCAGATGAGTCCTGATGCTTATTGAATGAGTGCACAGATATTTTATTTGTGGTTTTAAGCTGTTTTCTTTCTCTTTAGGCCAACTTATTTCTGATCGAGTGACAGAGATTGTTGCTAAATATGACTCCAAAGTCTACAGTACAAAGTATGATGACCAGTTAGCAACCAGACCTGCCAGTGCTGCTTTTGATGACAGCTACTTGGGTGCGTAGTTTGTAAAGGAAGAAAACCTAGCTGTACTTGAAAAACTTCCTTGCGCTATTCATATTTAAGTGTAAATCACACTACTATTAATTCAATATTTGACAGGTAACTAAAGCCCTACATGCCTGAAAATGCAGTAATTTATGTATGACAGAATCTTAGTGATCTTGCCATAGGCTTGATTTAAAAAGCACCTGATGACAAAATAAATGGCAATATTTCCCTGAATTTTTGTGCTCTGTGATTCAGGCCGAATATGGGAATGGCAGAGGTACGATTTTTATTTGAGAACTTAGTCACATATCTATTTTTTTAGAAAAGCAGCGGTTTCTAAATAACCTACCAAAACAAAATAAAAGTGTGAAAGAATCATGTTTGGGAAGAAAAATAATGAAGAGAGTCCCGTAGAGGAGTGGGAAATCATAATTTAGCTTCCTATATGTCTAACCGGGGTCAGAAGAAAGCGAGGATAGACCAGGAGAGTTCCCAGCACAATCATTTTAAAATCTTCATCTTCCAATCTGAAATTCAGGGATGCCGATGAATTACAGTCTGTTCATGTAGCTGTTCATAGCCTAAGCTACTTAGAGGCAATATTTATTCCATTGTATTTCAAGATGAAGTGAGAGGACTGTGCATAGAGACCTATGAAGAGTGTAAAGAGAGATGAAAGGTTTAATAAGGTTTTTAAAGTGATTTACTAATGTTGTCTGTTGATCAGGTTATTCGGTGGCTGTTGGAGACTTCAGTGGTGATGGCATAGAAGGTAAGACCTTGGCTTCAGTAAAAAATTCATGTTAATAGGCTGGGCAGGTTTTTCAAATAAATGGTATAGAACAAATGATAGAGTGCACACAAAAATGCATAAAGCACTAGGAATAAGCTACTATTGTCAGGCAAAGTCATTGTGCTTTGGGACCTGGATATTGTCTGGGTGTCTTGCTTTATATTTCAGACTTTGTATCGGGAGTCCCAAGAGCGGCAAGAACTCTGGGCATGGTAGGAAATTTGAAACATTAAACTTTACAATAAATAAAAAAGATAAATATTGTTCGTATGCGGTAATGTGTATTTCTTCATGTGCAGGTGTCTATTTACAATGGGAAAAACATGTCTTCCATGTACAACTTCACTGGAGAGCAGGTATGTAGCTTTATTCAGTGTGGTGGCTGACCAGGAGGCTATTGCTATAGAAAGATGGTATGTTGAGACAGTGGTTAGGGTACTAGAACATACAATATTCTGCAAGTTATTATCTTATGGGCCAAAGAAAAATTTTATAAGGTCTGTGGGAATCCTAAAAATATGTCTGCTGTGAGTTCCCATTTGGTAGTGCTACTTAGAAAAACAGTCCTACTTAAATGAAAGAAATGCTGCCTGTTTTGGGAAAGAGGACTGGATCATTCAAGGGCGAATGAGGAAGGTAACTGATCAGTTTGCTTCCTAACAGAGTAAGGAAGAGAAAGGAAAATGTAAGGAGAGAGGAGACAAAAAATTTTGTAGCATATATTATCATCTCCCTAATGTCTTTCCTATACAGCTTTGTATAAACTTGTTTGTGTGTTTATATCACTACAGCACACAAGTTTGGTTTGAATTTTGTTTTCCAGATGGCTGCCTATTTTGGGTATTCAGTGGCTGCTACAGATATCAATGGGGACAAGTAAGTGCCCTGTTCTACCCACTGCCACCCAACTTGTTTCTGGAAAGAAAAACAAGAAACTTTTGTTAAGAAGTCTTTCCTACAATGTAGATTTCTGTCTTCATTACTTGTTTAACATGTACCTGTGCAACACGCTTTCTTGCTAGCACTCAACATTTGTTTTAACAATTGTAGGTTTGTTTCGGTATTTATTTACATAAATACAGGTGTGAGTTCACATGCTTTAAAGGCAAATTCTGGTGTATTTGTGCTTACTTTGGCAATAAATCTTTGCCTTCAGTTGCAATTTAAAGATAGGTAACTTTCATCTTCAATATTGACTTCAGTGCTGAGTTAGTCCTACTAATGGATACTTAAGAGAATGAGACTGAATTTTCATGCTCTTACTTGAAGAACCTTATCTTTCTTTGGTCCAGTTATACAGATTTGTTTATTGGAGCCCCTCTTTTTATGGATCGAGGTTCTGATGGGAAACTTCAAGAGGTCGGCCAAGTTTCCATTTGCCTTCAACGAGCCTCTGGAGGGTTTCAGATCACAAAGCTGAATGGTTTTGAGATATTTGCAAGATTCAGCAGTTCTATTGCACCTCTGGGGGATCTAGATCAGGATGGCTTCAATGGTAGGACATCATTTATTGATCACTATTTTCCATTTGTGAAAGAAATCTGGACGTACACTGAATGGGGATTCTGCACACAAACATTAGGCATTCTAACCATGACTGAATGTTGGACACTAAGGTCTAGACTCCTTTCGATGCTTGTATGCTACTCCCAAGAATGCTAACAGGAGTTACATGTATGCATCGAGCAGAGACTATACCATTTAAACTACAGCATGGATTATTTTAGCTGTACACTGATCAGTTTATTACTTTCTAAGTGATAAGTACAGTAGAAACTTTGATGAAGTATCTGACTCTCCACTGTGACTTGTTAGGCCATCTTCAATATAATTTTTCCTTTTCCATTGCTTAAAGCCAATTTTCCTCTCCAGAAGCACGATGACTTAAAAGAAGGTTTTGTTTCAGAGAGCTGGTTAAAAATGTTCTGATAGAAAAGATTTTCCTGAGAAAAGTCTAGATTTTTTTGGTTTTATTTCAAAATGGAAGAGTCTGGTGAAAATAGCTCATAACAACTACAGCCAACTGTACCAAGAGCTGAGTGTCTTGAGCAAGTATTTGGATGCGAAGTCGAGTCTGATACAACTGAAGCTGTGGACTCTCAAACCCATTGCCAGTGCTTCTTGTTACTTTCACTTGGGAATGGAGAGCAATGAAACAGACAAGAATCATACAGCTTTGGGACAGAGACTTCCAGGAATCCTGGGGAGAACACTTGACTTTGCAAGTCATACTCCAGTGTTTCCTAAAGAGGGGTAGGAATGTGAGTTCTGCAAAAAATGCTTGGTTTTGGTTTTTCCATTCTGCTTGCAAGCTAAATATTTTCTGAAAGATCAAAAATTGTAAAAGGCTAATATTTCAAATTCTCAGGTAGCTCTACTTTATTTTTTTAATGGAATTATAGAATCATAGAACAGTTTGGGTTGGAAAGGATCTTTTTAGTTGCTAATAGTTCACAGAATCAGTGTGAAGATGCAATATCACTGCAACTGTTTACAGAAGACATTGGAAAAATTAAAGCAGATAGCCAAAAATCTGGTCACCTAATGAAATTATTAAAAACAAATGTTTTGACTCCATCATATTTCATTCTGAAAGATGCTGTAGGTGAGAAAATCGTAGCAAAAGCTGCCTCTTTTTAATTACTTTGCCATTATTTAATCTGTTTTTTTAGTCTTTTTTTTTTTTCCTGCTCTGTTTCATTTTGGGAGTGTTAATTAAAATGCTTTCCATCACAGTATGGTGCAAAATTAGAATTTCTACTGTTTTCATAAAGTTTTTAAAGATGAGTCAAAAATACCAAATGGTGAACTTTTGAGTCCTTGTTCTTTTCATGGAACTTTCTCAAATTTCAGGAAAGAGGAGGGAATAATGTAATTACTCTGTATAGTGTTTCATGTTTGGTCTTTGAACCAACTGTGAAAATGTTGAATTTAAATCATGTGTGCGCTTCTAAAGCTGTCCTTACAGATAGTCCAATTAGCATTTTATTTATTACTGTTTATTAGTCATTGATAATGGGTGCTCTCAAATTTATTAAGAGATAGCATAACTGCACTAACTGAAGGTTCCCCCTAAAACATATTGCCAAGCAGTGATCAGGATAGACTGGAATTTGATATTCACCATTGCTTTAGGCTGACTTAAATTTTCCAGAATTATTAAAATGTCACACCCTTTGGAGGAGCAGGAGTGTGTTAATGAAATGGGCAGACAGTCCCACTTAGTTCTGTGATTTGACGCCAACAGTGACTAATTCTGGGTGTTTAATACTCTCAAAAGCACCTCAAGTCCATATGATTTGGCTGTAAGTCAGTTACTGAAGTGCAGAAGTGTTTGCAGAACTATTTCTTTCCCTCCCCCCTGCCCCTCCCAAGTCTATGATATATGTTCTTGTTAAACATTTCTACTTTCTAGAAAACAGCATCCAATTAAAAACAAAAGAAGGTTGTTGATGAACATTTTAAAGACCAGTTATAATTTCCTCCTTACTGACACACACTGAAACTGTAATCTCAATGATCAGTTGATACATTGATCAATGTAAGCACAAATATGTTCTCCTAGTCTGTGTCTGGAGATGTTGATGATTGTTCTTTTGGTTTATAGATATTGCAGTTGCTGCACCGTATGGTGGAGAGGACAAGAGAGGACTTGTCTATATCTACAATGGAAGAGCAAATGGTTTGAATGCAGTCCCATCTCAAATTCTTGAAGGGCAGTGGGCTGCTCGCACTATGCCACCCAGTTTTGGGTACTCACTGAAAGGAGCTACAGATGTGGACAAAAATGGATATCCAGGTCCTTTGCTCTAAGTGTTGCTTTAGAATAACTTAATAGTAGCCCCCCCTCTGACTAACAGCATATTTTAAAAAATAGATTGTAACGTGTAATATTTCTCCTTTGTGCCTAGACTTGATTGTTGGAGCCTTTGGCGTTGACACAGCTGTTTTGTATAGGTAAGTATCCTGCTATGTCTTTACGTAAGTGCAAGCAGAATGAAAGCTCTGCGGCATTCTTGAGTTACAAAAGAAAGCAGGATCAGACCAGTCTGAAATTCTGCCACTCCACCTTCCAAACTGCTGGAGGTAAAAGAAGGTTGTACTGCTGTTTTCACTGAGTAAATCCACAGTCTGCTATCTATTATTTATCTATCTTAATAATCTATAGTTAAATGAAAATATAAATCAGCTGTCTTCAAGGCTTTCTGAGTGACAGTTTTCTAGATTCTGACACATACAGGGTGCTGCTAGCTATTACACTGCAATCCCGATATTCTCATCCAAACTTGCACATTTTGGGAGAATATCTTATTTGTCTGTGCTAGAAATAGATAGGACTTCCTCTTAACACAATTGTCCGTGTTCTGGCTCTGATGGTAATGAAAGGGCACAGAAAAAGGCTTCCTGCTTTTCCCTAATCTACTCAATGATTATTTGTTATTCTTGCAGTTCTACTAAATATTGTCTTAAGTGTGTATGTGTATGTTTCACAATTTGATGGGGAGAGTATTGTGTAACATGGTGTTGAATGCTGTTCAAGAGGATGTTTTTTTTGCAGGGCTAGACCAGTTATTAGAGTAAATGCTGCCCTGGAAGTTAATCCAACCATTCTAAACCCAGAAAACAAAGCCTGTTCACTGTCAGATGTAAAAGTTTCTTGGTAAGCAGGGTATCTTTGTTTTCCTTTGAGGGGAGGGACTTTTCTGGGTTTTATTTTCATAAGCTTTCAATTTTGAAAGGATTCAGGAAGTCCAGTCAGCTAATTTAAAAAAAGGCAATCAAACGGAGATTTTTCTGAAAGAACAAACAATACAAAATAAGAACTCTTTGACGACAGTGGGAGGACCAACATCATGTTCAATAGATGTTAGACTCCGAAATTACATCCTACCTGCAGAGACTGCCAGTTGTCTGTGTTGAATAGAGTAAGATCTTCCCAAAATGGTAACGGATCACACAGCTTTTGCAGTATTTTTACCCATTAACTTACTTTTTAGGTGGGCTTATGGAAAACACTTGGGCAATGATCTGCTCTGCAAACTGGTTTTGGTTCTTGTTCCTGGACTATTATCCAAATGCACTTTTCCCTTCTAGTGCTAAATTCCTTTTCAACTCAGTATGCTGGTTCCTTTTAGCTTTAAAAAAATATTGAGCCACATTTGATTTCAGGAATAAACACTGTGCTTCACAGGTGACTATTCTTACATGAATCAAGTCTCCAAAGCTTTGCATTGCTGTCTACTTATTAATAGGTTATAGTTGCTCTCCCACCTTTTGGGAGTGAGCTACAGTCCCAAAAGAGAATACCTTTGAACTGAGAAAAACAATAAAGAATTTTAGAAGAAAATGAGAGAAAAAGTGTGTGAAATTAATATTTTCTTTTCTTCCAAAACAGCTTCAAAGTCAAGTTCTGCTTAAAAGCGGATGGCAAAGGAAAGCTCCCTAATTCACTCAGTAAGTTCTGCTAGTTTAAAAACTTCAAAGTTTTCTTACATTATTTGCAGACATGAGCACTGGTCCCTGTTCTTTTTCATTATTGAAACAATTGGCTAGCCTTTACAGCACAATCCTACCAGTTCAGTAACCATATACATCTATACCACTGTCTTCGGCAGTGTTTTTGCTGAAGCTGTATTGAAGTCAGTGGGATTTGAGCATGCTTGGGACTTTAAGCATATGTTTAACCACTTGGGTGGAGCTAGTCTTGGAAAGTCCTTTGTATTTTACAGAATTGAGATCAGCTCTTGTTGAGGGGAGTTTTAGACAAGAATATTCAAGTATGTGCATTGTTAGGCCTGAAAAATATAGAGAAGCCACAAGGAACTCCCCACATTTCTGTTGAAATGATGACCTTCTGATTAATACCACAGATTTTTTTTTTTTTTTTTCCATTGGATTCTCTGGATCAAAATCAGGAGAAGATTCTTTCAAACAGGTTTTTAAGTTATCTCTAAGAGATTTTGTAGTGTGGCAGACAGCCTGCTACAATCAGGTTTTGTCTACTGATTATAAAAGCTTTTCTTTATTTTCTGCATGGCATGTACGGAGGTTGTATGGTCTGGGAAGATTCATATAAATAGATGCTACATATTTTAAATTTCATTATCTATATCAAATATTTGAAGTAATTAAATTAGCAATACAGTTAAATAATGTAAGTGTTATGTGCAAGATTGCTTTAAAATTTTCTGGAGGGAAAAATTTTAACTTTTGTTCTTGCAGTTCTATAGCAATTATAACTGTATCACTGCTCTTAATGTTTCCAGTTTTTAAGGAAAAAGTAGAGTCCAATTTAGGACAACAACAGTGCTTGTTAGTTACTATTTTAAGAACTGCAGTAACAGATTTTATACTGAAAGAAGCGGAAGTTTTAAAAGTTCCAAGTACTAGGTTCTCATTGTAGCTGAAATCAGCATTCAGCTCTGTTTCTGATGGGAATCTGCACTGTGTTTAATTGAATGTAATATCCCTAACCTAAACGCTTTGGATTGGACAGATTTCCAAGTGGAGCTCCTGTTGGATAAACTTAAGCAGAAAGGAGCTATAAGGAGAGCTCTCTTTCTCCACAGCAAACAGCCTAGCCACTCTAAGAACATGACTATTACAAAGGGAGGCAAAATGAATTGTGAAGAACTTGATGCCTTTTTGAGGGTAAGTAGCCATTTATGTTTTAGGCAAATAATTTTTGGTGCATTATCTATTACAAGTTCCTTGCGTTAGGTGTTTTTAAAAAAAAAAATAGAAAAGAGAAATGCTAGAGAAACTTCGTGCCTAATGGATAGACCTAAAATTACTAA